AAAGAAAGAAAGAAAGAAAGAAAGAAAGAAAGAAAGAAAGAAAGAAAGAAAGAAAGAAAGAAAGAAAGAAAGAAAGAAAGAAAGAAAGAAAGAAAGAAAGAAAGAAAGAAAGAAAGAAAGAAAGGTGTAGGGCAATGTTTCATATTAACCCTGGTTTCCTCTTCATACATCTGATTTCTTTGAAAAACACAGCCATAGTTCATCCACCAGCCCTATGGCCCACATTGCTCCTAAGGGAGGCTCAATGCTGTGGTTAGAAAGAACTAAAGGAAAAATATTGCTGAGGAATTTAACCAAATTTTTCAGTGTAGCAGCTTTGTAAGAAAAGAGGATTCACTGAAGCTAAAGTTTCTCATGAAAATCATGGTGTGTTCATTGATATTACCAGGAAAGTTTGAAATATTTCTATCTAGGGCCAAATATAAACCATTGGATGGCATTGGATTGCATTTGGTTGGATTGGGTAAGGTAGAGTAAGGTACCTTCTAGAATATGGAGAAGTGGAAATTAAACCCTTGTTCCTCCTCTGTCCAAGCACATGGTATCATGGTGTCTCTCCCCTGATGTAACCAGTGATTTCTGATCAATTATTTCCTCTTTCCAAAATCAGTTAGGACTTTTCTGCAGGGAGACTGCCACAGAGGAAAAGAAGTCCTTCAGCCTGCAGTGACAGGGATTCTCAGCTACTCAGCAGAGAACTGGACAGTGAGAGCAACCTGGGCAATGTGCTACCATGGACCTGGAAAGCTGGGAAGAACATGGATAGTAAGCAGCAGAGGATGGGCTGGAAAAGCCTGTGCCCATGTGATGCAAACCATTAGGTAAGATGCACTTTTCAATTTCTTGCTGCAGAGTCCATAGCAAATGTAATGGCAAAGAGGGACGTGAGCATGGATTTCCCACAGGACAGGCAAGCTCTCTCCTCACCCTAGGAGACACAGGCAAAAGAGGAGGAAGGGAGGGAACAGTGCTTTCCAGGGGTTGATGAAAAGTTTCTCAAGCCTGGGTGAAACAAAACTAATAAGAATGATTTTGGAAATCAGAAATGTCAGTGAGCTTGGGTTTATTTTCTCATACCCTATCAGTTGCCTGACCTTGCCTCTATACATTCCTTTGTCTATACACAGCAGTGCAAAAGGGACATTATTTCATCTAACTTTGGGCACATATATATTTTAAGACACTATTCATGTCAGCTCTTTTAGACATCTATCGCAAGACAAATTAGTTATAAAATACCTGTGTCTTTCCACTGACAACAAAAGCAGTCAAGAAGAAAAGTTCATATGCAAATATGTGGTCAGATCAATTTTAACTCCATGACTATACCCCCCACATCCTTCTCATTTCCCCCATGAAAAAATACAGATGCTCTCACAGCACAGAGTTCAGCACAAGCAGGGCTCTGCTTGCCGAGTTACACCAGGTTGTGCTCATTGATGAGTGAAACCAGGTTGAAATTCAACTGCTGGCTGTACCCTCCCACTCATTATCTCTGCTGAGTGTTTAGATCTCAGGGAATTTGTGGAGTTTCTGGGTTTCCAGATACCAGATAGTCTTTTTTTTGAGGCACTGGGTGTAATTCCTTCAATGATTGTGGAGGAATCTCTAGAGGGGAACCTCACGATCATTGCTCGCTCTCTTCTCTTAAGGGAAGAAATTGAACTCATGGTTTTCTGACAAATGCTTGTTTTCTGCTGTTGTCAGAAAGCCAGGAGACATTTAGCAGCTGTAACAGTGGAAGCTAAATAAAAGCAGAAAATTTCCTGTCTGCTGCTACACTGCATAAGTACACAAAGTGAGGTTAAAGAGAGGTAGATCTGCTCCATGGGACACTGTCACCCAAAATAATTTTTGAAGGGGCAAAGTTTTCCCTCCCCTCACCCTTTGATACAGGTTTAACTCCATAAAGCACAGTCCAGTGATCTCTGTAACCTAAGTTGCATATTCAAATTAAGTTTGCATGTTGATTTTAAAAGTGGATTGGTTTTTTCAATAGAATACGGCCGCAGCCTTCCTCCAAGACACTAGTGTACGATTGATGGGATATCTGTTTCAGGGTTATGTTTGTACAATGAAGTTCTCATGTTATAGGCCTGGTGTCAACAGACACAGAAGTCATAGAAATTATGGTAGAAAAGTTGACTTTGGTACAAGCAATACCTCAATTTCTTTGGAATATGAAACTCTTTCACTTTCTTTTCTACTTCTGTCTCCTAGGGCCCTGCTTCCTTCAAAGATAAAACTGACTGCTGGTTTCAGGGGCTATTTATTGCCATGACAGTGATATATCACTCTGAGTACTGCCTCTTAAAGGATTATTAGCACCTACCTGATCTGAAAAAGTACAAACATTCAACCAAAATTGCTGTATTAATAGATAAGTCTAAAATAAATAAACAGGAAACAAACAGAACCTTTTTAAAAGAAGGAACTGCAATTGAAATACTTTAAAGATAAATAAACTTTTAGATTTGACTCCCTCTAGAGTATATTTAAGGAAAAGCTTGAATCAGGAGATTCCTTTTTTGTTGTAAAAATTCCCTGTAGTCCAATCGAAGTTCTCTCCAAGTGCAAGAATCCCAGCCTCTCTTCAACAGGGCTCTCTGCCAGTTAGAGCTAAGCCCCTGCAGCGCTCAGACCAGAGCACCTTAGTGCCTCACCGCCACCAGGAAACAAAGGTGTATCCTCTTGTTCAGTAAGAGGTGATAGAGCTCTAATTGTGCATGCCTACATTTTCCAAAAAGGACACCAAAGCCTTCCTGTCTTCATCAACTAAATGCAGTAAGAGGGCTTTCATCAGGTCTGCAGTGCTGAGTCAGAGTTAGACCCATGTCTCCAGGGACCTGTTGTAGAACAGGACCTTCATTCACTTGGCCCCTGAGGATTCAAACAAACTCAACACAGTGTTGCAACATCTGAAGTTCCCAAATGTCTTTTTTTTTTCTTTTTTTTTTTTTTTTTTTTTTTTTTTTTTTTTTTTTTTTTTTTTTTTTTTTTTTTCTGGAATGAGGATCGGTTACCCATTTCAAAATGAGCAGGGCCACTGTAGTCACTTCGGTCATTGGAAGCCTTTTGGTGAAACTCCCTCAGTCCTGCTGTGCAGGACATGAGACACATGTATCCTCTTTATCTGCTAGTGCTCCCACTGGCACTCTGGTCAGCTGCACAGGTTAGTTTACAGGTGGCAGTGAGATATTGAACAGAAGAAAAGGTAGCACAGAATAAGCAACTGAATTTTCAAGAAAGAACCCCATGGAAACAAGACACAGAGTCTCTCAAAGCATTTATGTCCATGTTTCTAATGAAAAACAAGCAGAACATTAAATACATTCCATTAGTTTCTATGTAATAATGAAGAGGCAATACAGGATAGGCACAATTTTCCTTCTCTCTTTGCCAGAAAGTAAGATGAAAAAATACAATATTTGGGTAAGAAAAAAAAATAAAAAAAATAAGAGTGTGAGCTTACTGTCTGATTATGGATGTGAAAATAGAGAAACTATATTTCTTACTAACTAGGTCCATTACTTTCCAGCATGTGATGGATTCTCAGTTGCTAGGTTTTTAAAGCCACAAAATAAAGGAAAGAAGAAACCCAAACTTTGCTATCTTTTGCTGCATCAATGTATAGATAAATTCAGTCTGACTACAATACATGTACCTCCATGGAATAAATTTGGATCATTATGCCATAGACTCCAGAGAGTCAACGTGACATATTGCATCATATCCCCCCACAAAAAAGAATTCACTAACAAACATCACTTCCAAAAGTGCTCCCTTATTCCACTTTTACATTATAGTTTCTTATTAAATATCTCAGTGGATGACTTTGGTGCTTTGCCACATTTCTCTCAATCTATTTATAAATGTTAGGTTGGAAAGAAAGTAAACATTGCAGGAAAAACACTTTATAAACTTTTACTATTTTCATATTATATTTGAACTGGAATTAGTTTTGCTTAAAATAAATAATAATCCTGGAGTGGTCTGCAGAGTGACACAAAATCTCCCAAGCTTGTTAAAATAAAAATAATAATTAAAAAAAAGAAAACATAAAATAAGAATATAAACCGATTGGTTTATATCTCATCTGAGAACACAGAAAATTATGTCTGTTATGAGGGAGAAAAAAAAACCAAAAACCAGCCTGCAGGTAGACTTCATCCTGCATAGTATGTCACTGGTAACAGCCTTCAGGGCAATTACTGCTCTTTGATTATAAATCGAATTGATTAACATGCCACCAGAAAAGTGGCAGCATTGATGAGTATGTGATTCCTCCCGCTCCCCAGTAATGGATTAAACAAATGTTTCACACCTAAAGACTGCAGCTGCATTTGCAAAAGCACAACTGGCTTCTCAGAGGCAGAAAAGCGCTGGCTGGCAGAGTATGCTGCTGCTGCCTGCTGCTCCCTTCCCACCTCACACACCCAGCGACTTGCTGCTTGTTTATTTAAATGACACTGTTGTTTGAAATGATGGGGGCTTCTTATCCTCTTGAGTCATGCATTCTCTGTCTGCGATCCTCTGTTTAGGCACTTTTAGCACCTCATTAATTACTAACTGCAACAAAGTCATGCTGTTTTGCAACTCTATTGCCTTTGTTAAGAAATCTCAATCCTGTGTTAGAATGTGAAAGGGGACTGTTATCTACCATATGCCCTGCTTGACTCCATACTACAAAATTAGCTTTCTAGTTCCTGAAAAACATATACATGTGTTCCTTATATACATACCCCGTGGTTAAACAGCCTGGTTTCCGCTAAAAAACCTGCCAGTACCAACTGTAGAAGCTACCACTGCAGATAAAAGCCCCTCTTAACTCCACACGTTATAAATAAATGTTTTGTCCAGGAATGCACCATTTCTTAACAATGTCCTTAAAAATCTTAATAACGTCATTAATAAGCTTTAATAATAAGTCCTGCTCAAAGTGCTACCCTAGATGCCTCTCCATGAGTCTGTGGGTACTAAGACCCTCTCAAACAGTTAACTATTAAAGATAAGTAACTAACAGATTAGGCAGTTGGAGATATTATTTCACTCTTAGATGGAAAATCTGTGGGACAACATAATGTAAGGACAATGAAAGTCTTCCCTGCGATGCTTTGAATGTTATCAGTGTATGTAAACTCTGCAGGCATATTAAAGCAGATTTGTAGGAGAGGTTTGATCCAAAAGGGATTTTGATAGCTGTGCAGAAAGCTGTGATTTAAGAATCATATTCAGCAGCAGCTGAAGCTGGAAGAACCTAATTAAATTCACAATGTCCTTTCTTGTTTGGGGTGAATGCTCCTCAGAGTACAGCTCCTGCAGAGACCCAGAGCCAGCACAGGCAGGACTCTTGTGTGAGCAGATTGTGGGCCAAACAGAGCTAAATTCACTGAGGATCTAGACCCAGCTACCAGTGGAACCAGACCCATCTCATCAAGCAGCATACAAAAACTTGTTTACAAAACAGGGACAGAAAAATAGAAATGGCAACAATAGTGACTTTTCTTAGTGGTTAGAATATATGCAGCCAGAAGACACCAGTTTCTGTTAATAAATTTTCATTTAATGTGAAATGTGCAAGGATACTTTAAAAAAAGAGACAAAAAATAAGATTTCCCTTCATGTGCCTTAAAATAATTTCCTTCTTATCATCTGACACCAAGAATGTTTATGGTGGCACAGATGCAGTACAGCAGCCTGTGAAGCAACCTCAGCCAAAGAATCAAATAAGCGAGAGCTCAGGGTGTGGGGTGCAATTGCACCCTGAATCACACTCCCATGGAAGGTGCTCATGGAGCATGGGTCCACATGGTGGCCAAGTTTCATTGCCATTGGGCTAAAGGGAACTCTAGAAAAGACAAAATTGACTTTTTATTTGAAAGAAAGGATCTTAATTTCTCCCCTGATGAAGGAGGCTGGCTGACTCTGGCACGAATGGATATTTAGCTGTGCAGAAAATCCTAGCTGGGCTGAGTGTTTCCTTATTGCTAGCTCCTGCTTTCTCTCAATTCAGGATGAATGTCGATTCTGATAGCAGGCTGGAAGGAGCACCTATTACCACAGTCTATTTGCAGAGTTTAGACATCTAAATATTGAATTTTGGATGTCACTTGCAAAGTCATATGCCCACCAGGTAGGATTTCTACTCCTAAATTGAAGATGTTTCCCTATTTCATGGGATCTTGGCTTTCAAGTTGTAGCTGTCTAATGCCTGATTTGCAGTTTGTTTAATGTAGTAGATGTAGATATTAGCTTAGCAGAAGATCCACGTCACTAAATCCTTGTTATTCAAGGACCAGTCATCAACCTCATGCAAAAAGAGAACCAAGTTCAGAAGTAAAACACTATGTGATTCTTTCCATTCGTGAACAGCAGTCAGAAATATGCTGGAAGGTACACAAAAAGGGAAAGGCTTTCACTAGGGAACGTTATTTTCAGACAAGTACAAGGGCTTTTTTCAGTTCTGATGAACTGAATGCAAAATATGAACTGATGCAATATATCCAATTGCTTCAAACTCTCCAGGCATAGTGATGGATATCAGCTTGAGCTTAAAAATCCTCCTGAAGAGTACCATGTCACCAGTGCACCAGAGTCAAGCAGAGAACAAATATTTTTCAGGACTACCATTTTGCAGTTTTCCAGAATTTCACTTTATGCCTTGAAATAAGCAACAAGAGCATTTGGGTACAGAAGTGTTCCAGGCTGCTCAGCACTATCTGCCTAATACTGAAACACCCCACAGAATAAGTATCAGTGACACATTTACCAATGTTTAGTTAAGGACAGGGCAGGGTAACCCATGGTTGTAATGCTCTGCTCCTCATGCTGTGAAAGTGGCTGCCCGGTTCCTCAGCTACACCTCCTACAACTCTGTAATACCTCTTATGGCTTCAGGCACCAGAGCTGAACTTCTTCAGTATATCCTGGCAATGGGATGGCATTGTTGAGGACAGCTGGAACTGCAGAACATGAGCTCTATCAACAGTGTGCACCATCGTCCTTCTTCATGCCCACCTGCTCCTCTGTATGAACATTAGGCAACCTGCCCATCACCCACACCATGTGCCAAGTGAGCACACACATAAAGAAATGGGCTTGTTCCCTCGTCCCTGCCTTTCCAAGGAACTCTACATTTGAAATCTCACCTACTGTAGTAAGATTGCTTCACTGACCTATTTGAGACACTCCCTACCCTTACTGTTTTACGTGTCAGGTTTTTAATTTCATTATGGTGTACCATACCAGGAAACTGAATATGCTGAAGAAAACCTTTTTTGTGTTTCATCTTTCAGCCAGATATTTCCCAAACCCTTGGACCAGCAGAGCCCAGGAAGTGGGAATGAGCAAGTCACTTGGGCAAATGTGGAATCTACTTAGATGGACATTAACACCAAAGAAATTCACAGGAAAC